GCACAGCCTGAAGGCCTAGGAGAGCTGGATTATTTGGCGGCCCGGCCCAGATCCCTGCTGTCCTGTGAGCCTTGACACTGGTCCCAGCATCCTGGCCACTCCAGCTTCAGCCACGTCTCAAAGGGGCCCAAGTACAGCTCTGGTGGCTGCTTCAGAGGGTGCAAGCCATAAGCTTTGGCAGCTTCCATGTGGTGTTAAGCCTGCAGTTGCACAGAGTGCAAGAGTTGAGTCTTAGGAACCTCTAGCTAGATTTCAGAGGATGTCCAGAAAAGCCTGGATGTCCAGGAATGAGCCTGCTGCAGGGGTGGAGCCCTCATGGAGAACCTCTACTAGGGCAGTGGAGAGAGGAATTGTGGGGTTGGTGCCCCAACACAGAGTCCCCACTGAGAAGCTGCCTGTTGGAGCTATGTGAGAAGGGCCACCATCCTCCAGGCCCACCAGTAGCTTTCATCTGTGCCTGGAAAAGTCTCAGGCACTCAATGCCAGCCTATGAGGGTGGCTATGGGGGTGCTGAACCCTGCCAAGTTACAGGGTCATAGCTGCCAAAGGCCTTGGGAGCCCACCCGTTACATGCCTGCATGTGGCATATGGAGCCGAAGGAGATCATTTTGGAACTTTAAGATTTAATGACTGCCCTATTGGGTTTTAGACTTGCATGAGGCCTGGAGCTCCTTTCTTTTGGCTGATTTCTCCATTTTGAAATGGGAATATTCACCCAATGCCTGTACTCCTATTGCATCTTGGAAGTACATAAGTTGTTTTTGATTTTCAGGCTCGTAGGTGGAAGAGATTTGCCTGTGTCAGATGAGACTTGGAACTTTGAACTTTTGAATTAATGCTGAAATGAGTTAAGACTTTGAGGGACTGTTGGGAAGGCATGATTGTAGTTTTGCAGTGGGAGAAGGACATGAGATTTGGGGGCAGGGGTAGGAATAATACGGTTTGGGTCTGCAGCCCATCAAGTCTCATGTTGAATTGTAATCCCAAGTGTTGGAGGTGAGGGATAGTGGGAGCCGGCTGGATCATGCAGTGGATTTCTTATGAAGGGTTCAGCACCGTCCTCACTTGGTACCGCTTTCATGACGGTGAGTGAGTTATCATGAGACCTGGTCATTTAGAAGTGTGAGACATCTCCCTCCTCACGCTCGCTCCTGCTCCATGCGAGACGGCTCACTCCCCTTTGCCTTCTGCC